TAGTTAATCTATGAAAATTGATCGTTTTCTTGACAACAGTCGTATTGTATGACAAGAAATCGCGATACGGTTTCATGTTTCTACGTTTTAAAGTCAATTTATTTAATTAAAAGATTTTTAATAATACACCTAAGATTGAATTGGAAGATGAAGCCAATGACCTAAAGTAATGTGTCGTTGGCCTTGATTAGTTTTTTTATATATACGTGACCACCACCTACACACCGAAATTGACATTATCGTGTGATGAGCTCCGTAAGGGAAATAATGATATTTTATATGTTTTTTTTTATCGTCTAGCCTGTCATCATTAGTTATACGTTACGATAGACTATTTTCTTCATCTATCTCTATTATGATTGTATTAAGCCTTAACATTATTTACTTTTGAAATGTAATTATCTTTTTGTACTATAATCAATAACTTAGCTTTGTACTTCTAGAAGAGTAAAAAGGTTACTTTTTCATCACTTTTAAATTAAATTTAGTTTGCCGTTAAATTTTATTAGATAATATTTTCTTTGAGAACTTGTTCTCTGCTTACAATTAGACGATGCAGGTGCTCATTACGTTTGTCACCTATCGTCTACGTGCTATGTGCATAGAATGAATGAACTGAAATTACTCATGTATATTTAAGAACTGGTTTCTTGGTAAATGTTTCTTTACACATTTCCGGGTTTGTTTGCTGACTAAGCTAACGATATAGAGTTTACTATTTTGTGTTGCTTCTTTGGTTCTTTTAAGTTGCTTAAATCTGATTGTCTTTATTTTATTTATTTTTCAAAATACTTCATATTGGGAGTGGTACCAACACAATAATGCCTTGACCTAACTACAGTACCTAAGTATCTGTAATATAATTTATTATCAATAGCCCGAATTGCCCCATTCAATCCATTGTCTCAAAGTTCAATTTTTCTTCTTTTTTTATTTCAGTCAATAGATATTCGTGTTCCGGTTAAGTTTGCCAATGTTTACAAAAGGATCGATTAAAATCACTTGCTTTTTGTCATAATGGATCCTGTGTGAAAACAGAATCTGCTATTCTATAGCGTTACGCAAGTCTAGTTAAAGTTACAATTAGTTATATGTTGTAGCTGTGTTCTATATGTATTTGATTTAAATTGATGTAATCAAAATGTACTTAAGTCATACACTGTAATAAGATTCTATGGCAAAATAATAAAATTGAAAATTTTGTAGTGGTTAATTTTAAAGATTAATGTCAAAAGATACAAGCCGTAAGTGTGTTGTAAATTATTATTAGGTATTCTTTTGTTTAAGACCGAAGGGAAGCAGGTGCAATTTAATATGCTGATAATCATAGCAGTTACGAGATAACAGATGTGATTCGACGTAAAGATAGGTAGTACCTAATATCTATATTAGGTAATTTTAGGATCTTAATATTTTACTATGCTACTAAATGTTAGTAATACATACATACATGTTAAGTATATACATACATATATACATACTTAACTCTACATAAGTATATACATACATATACACATATATGTTAAGTATATACATACATATATAAATAATATAATCTTTCAATCCAAGTAAGTCAATACAAAACTGAGGTAGTATATAACTTTTAAACTCGTGGTATTTAAATAAATCCTATTAGAAAGGAAAATAATACATCGTGGCAAATGTTGTGTTTTCTAGCCTTGCTAGTTGCGACAGTTTTAAGTGTGCCCTGAAGTGTGCGAAATGTTGCCCTCATGGATAAATGTTATAATTTCTCTCAATGTATCCATTTGTCTAACTTTCCTAGCCCTCAGTAGCCTCGTTGACCTAGAAAGCTGAAACTTTACTTGTTCTACACCACATACATTTATGGGAAAGAAATCGGGGCCGCATTTCTCCGCCGGAAGGGTCGTTATTGCCTATTGTAACCGATTTAAACTAACACCTTGCGTTTTTGATAACTATATGACATTAAAACCTATTCGATCCAATAAAACTGGCTGTTGTTCATACATATTATTTAATTAAAGGGTGAGTCGACGACAATATTGTTGGTTAGGGCAATATGAATTATTTTAATTCTTATATCCAATCACATAAATTATATATATATATATATATATAAAATTAATGTGTGTATGTATGTTTTCTATGAGCCACAACGGCTGAAGCGATTTTGATAAAATTTTTAGACTACGTTCAGTTTAGTCCAGCGGTCGACTCTGTGAACTTTGGCAGCGATCGGTAGTTTGAACGCGGGCGAAGCCGCGGGTACATACTGCTTGTTCTCAATAAAATGTCATTGCTATCACTACATACCTAAGAAAACATATTGTAGATTTAAGTTTATCGTTGTTTTAGTGAACATGGACAACGAATATATTTTAAGTAGCGTTATCTCACGGCTCCGCCTGCTTCCTTTCATTTCTTAGAATTACTCTGCTGTTGAAGATCGTAGTGTCATGTGAAATAACCTGTATCCTTCTTCAATAAATGGGCTATAAAAAGGAAAAATAGTTTTTTTAAATCAGACGAGTAGATCTGATCTGAGATGGAGATTAGCGGGTAAAAACAAACTGACAAACTAGTCAGCTTTATATATTAGTTTAGATAGATATCATTAAGACATTTTTCATTAAATGTGAGGAATAGGTTTAATAATAATAATGTTAAAGCAAAACAAATGAGCACAACCATAACCAACAAGATATTTTACTAGTAACCAGTAATCCCTCCACGACCGCGGACACGCCGGCGTGTCAGTTAACAACAGATTTCTTAGAATTTTAATTAATTTCTTAGAAATTTACCTGGATGTGTTAAAGAGTTCTACTATACACCTCCTGGCTCCATGTTGAAATCAGATCGTTGGTACAACATATTGTCTTCCAAATTAGACGTACATTCAAAATTCACTTTCAAGATTTGATCACGTCATAGTCAGTGAGGTTAAGAAAAGCGTGTTAAAAAGTGACGATGAACTGTTAGAAATATTAATTAGTGATACACATGAGTATGTTATTAAATTATAACAAAAATAATAACATAATTACTATTATACAAATATGTACATACAATATATCGAAAAGTTGAATATTACTGTGTTTTCTTCGTAATTGTGGAGTATACCGAATACTTATTATTAAAGACACTCAATGGTATCGTATGCTGCAAACCTTAATAGTCCCTAAACGATCAGAGGCACTGTTCGTGTCTCAACAATTTGTCTTATAAATCAGTAAATTGGTGTGAAACTATGAAGAAAATTACGCCCAGTCGCCAGCTTTCCATTCCATTGCCTAGTGCCCTTAGTGACGTTCGGTGAAAACAATTGATTTTTGTCGGTGAAAGTCCCTTTGCGTGTGTTTAAGCGTATCTGGAGATCTTCGATTGAACGAATTGATTTCAACTATGTAGATAATAGATATTAAATGTCAGTACATGCAAAACATAATTATAAGTTTTCTTAAGCAGTTACAATGCTGAGAATAAAAAAAGATTTTAGTATACAAGTATTGGAGTTTTGAAGTAATAAACTAGTGACTAATACCCTCGCTCCGTTCGGGTGCGTCCCTATAATCCACGTTTTAAATAGATATGAATTGTTATTGCGAGTGTACCTTAGGAGATACTTATGCTATTGCGGACTTTATGTCTCTTAATATTTAGCCAGCGTTAGCCAAATGACGACTCGTTAGAACCAGTTATTGTGTTTTCCCGTGGGAACGAAAGATTTTCCTGTAGTAAAAATAGCCTGGAGACTGACCCGAGTAATGAAGTTATCACTACACAAAATTTAGTCAGAATCGAACCATTGTTTTTTGCGTAAAACGGAAACGCACAAACAGATACACAGAAAAATTGTTTAATAACTACATATTGTTTTGTACATATTCTGTACACAATACGTTACAGTCATTGTCATTTAAGAATATTTCATATACAGATTTTGCTAAGTTACTGTTTTATTATATGTATAGATAACAATTCCTAACGAAGTTCGCCCCTAAGTTTTTTTACAAGTGGCTGTTATAAGTTTGTATATACTTGACTGACCATTTGATTACAGCATATAGTATTATACCTCACTCTTCGCCCCATAAACTGTAAAACCTCGCCAATCCCAGAGGATTGTTGTTGTTGTTGGTGCAGACACCATAATATGTGCCTCAAAGAGAATAAGCCAACGAAATATTTTCGCTTTTATAATATTTGTAACAATAAAATGTTGTCATCATGGTTTTACGTGACTTGGAAGAACTAAAGATCAACTAGCTCTCTACATAGCTTATAAGTGCTATAATTTAATTGTTATCTATTGGAGAATCAGTAGATTAATAACAATTTATTGCGTTCATGTTAGAATTTATGTTTTTAGCCACGATCATAAGTACCAATCTATGTGTGTGACGCATCGACAAAACTCATTGCTGTTTATGGTGGAAGACCATGCTACAACTTACCGATATGGTGTTACAAAGTGTCCTTTGACAATAATTTTCATTGCTTTGATTGCAATGCCGTGCAATATGTGTGGGTACTTACTACATATCAAATGATTCGGATTTAAAGTATTAATGTGGTTTAAGTTAACCTTGAAAACAAAATTCAGCTTAAGAAAAAAAAATATATAATTATATGTATCTTATGGATCTCTTTTTAACATACTGTGTGTTGTTTTTCCAGGACCGGCTCAGCGAAGCGCAGAGAGAAGGCAAAAGAGAAAAGTACGCAACATGTGACCACCGACCGATGAACCAAAATAGACAATATCATCTTCAAATTCATGAGTCTTGTCTCAAGATTACATGATTAAGAAAATTATTTATTGTACTTTAACTTTAACTTAACGAATCTAGTCGCTTTAGTTATTTTATAACGAAGCAATTTTTACTTTAATAAGTCCGTAAAATATCAAGACAGTACAAAGAGACGAGACAGTACAAAGACTAACGGGAAATCTAATGTTGATTTAAAAATAAATTGATTCAATTAGCCAATTCCCGAACAAAGAAGTCACAATGTCTACAAGTGAGTATTATTTTTATCTTACTTACTTTGATAAAGGATCGACCTCGTCCTTTTTATTTAACCTTAACATAGCCAGGTATTGCGGAAAATACTTATCATTCGAAGGTTAATATTTAAAATATCTGAGAAAGACAATTCAGTTTTATTTAAATGAAATATTTTGTGTTTAAAAACTTCATCCAAATCCGGATCCGGATGAACACCTATTTTATAATACGAGGATTGAAAGTGCTGAAAACTTTACTTTATAACTTTAAAAAAGTTACTTGGTGCAATTTTTCATTTTGTTAATTGTGGGTAGGCTGTCTGTAACAACTATACCTTCGAGACATCTAACACCTCAGTCTCTCCCGTGACCATGATTGCTGTAAAGCATTCGAAACGTCTGGAACCAAAAATCAAAATAAATCCGCGAAATAATCCGAAAAGATTGTTTTATTTAAAATATCAAATATTCGCGAAAATTAAAGAAAGTAGTACAGAAAACTATTAGGAAAAAACACTTATTATAAAATACTAGCAAAAATTTTTGAAAATTTTACTTAATAATATTTATGAATAAAAATAATTAACATTCCAGGTTGCGAGAATTCAGTCGGAATTCTTAAGAGCAGCTTTTCGTTGTCTTCGCTGCGATCTGCGCAGGCGCCACCAAGTGGCGCCGGTGACCAGCTCGAGCGGCCTTACCACAGCCTTACTAAAAAACGGTAAGCCTTCATCAAACTATACAGAAGTATTATTATAAATTAAGAAACGTCAATATGTATGTTTTTGATGACCAGTGTAATATTTCATGTAAACATGCATCTTCTAGGCAAACGCGCTCCAACCTAGACCTCATCAGTGCTTCCCAGCGTTGATTGTCGTCAAGCACAAGGCTATTGAGCAATAAAAAGACTTATAGATATATCTCTGTTTGGTACTACATATAGATACATATATAGGAATAGTAACTGTTATAAAAAGGAGCCTATGTAAATTTTGCTGAAAATGCTGTTTTGTTGCTAAAAGAAAAATGTACAAATTGATAATGGTAGGGGAGCCTGTGATGCTAAATTTGCAGTTACTACAGTGTTATGAGGACCTATTGGATTGTGAAGATTAGGTTCTAAAAGCGTGTAAAAGTCTTCAAAAATGTAAAAAAAACAGTCACATGGAATAGTCGAGCACGTCAGACATTCATAGTGTAGGTATACTCGCTTTGTCTTTCTGATAACTGAGAGATATTAATCTGACGATTAACTAGTGGGGGTTGGCCGTAAAAAGGGGTAGAAAAAAAAGAAAAAATATTCGAGGTGGACTATGATCCCCCTCGTATTGAGGGGAGGCCGTAACTTAACTTGTCTTAATCTGAAGCGCACTAGTTTTTCTGAGGATCTATTTTTATTTTTACTAATCTGACGGGCTGCCCTTAACGCACCACCCCCCTGCATCCCCCTATATTAAGGGTTCATATTTGTTAGGGGTACATTACAGGTGCAAGGTATATCTCCATATTATTTTCTGACGCACTCGAGTAACGCACAAAATCCCCTCTTAGGTTCCCCTATTATAAACAATTTTGGTATTTATAATAGTAGCTAGTATAGACATTGTTATTTTATATATAGGTACGTACATATAATTATGAAGAATTATATATATAAAGATACTAATAGTAAGAATAAATACTTTTTACGTATTAAATAATATATAAAGTAAGTATAATTCTTACATTAGTACCTGTTTGGCTTTATCGTATTGATTTTAAATGCTAATAGCTTTTATTTATGTTTATTATTCTTTAATTTGCGAACGAAAATACGATTGAGAACGATGCTATTAACTTTTCAAGTAATGACACGTTTACGCCCGCGTACACGAACCTTTAAATTGTTTATTCTATTAAGATAAAAATAGTTTGTGTCTCTATTTTTATTTATTAGCTATTTGGCTTGTATTTCATTTATTTATTTGTTGATCAACCTATTACATATTTATAAGGTAGATGAAAGTAAAAAATGTTGCTATTGATTTGGTCGTTTCATAATGAACCAGTGTTACCTTCGGGTATGTATATTTGTAGATGCTAGGCTGAAAGACCGAAAATGTTCATTGTGCAGACAAAGCACGCACAACGCGTTATGACTAACTCAAACGGTAAACGGCAATGATTGTTTTCGATGTTTGAACGTGGCGTATTATGAATGCTTAATACCATCGCATCTATCATCTGCAGTTCTAATGTATGTTTAAATATACTCTAATTCTTAAAAAGTTCCAATAAATCAGCCCAATCATTCTCAACAGACAGACAGACAAAAACATGTGATTCTTAAGCGACCCTGATATTCCTTGAATACTATTTATATTATAAATATTGAATCTGCATTACACACTATAGATTACTGACTTGTAAAAAGCATATATACAATTTTTTTTTTATTACAGGAAAGAGCCATGTCGTGAGGCATGGCGGCGTAGTTGGGGTTCGGCGGCGAGTGGGGGGAGCGTGGGAGACGACCTGTGGCCCTTGCTCCAGCACCACTATGAGTACATCATGGACAATCAGATCATTGATTCTTGCAAGGTGTGTTTGAGAAATATTGGTTTTGTTTTGTTTTGCTACTTTACTTATAGTAGTTCGAAAATTATAATTTTTGTGAAAAATAAATTTATATGTATGTGTTGTAGTCAGATAAAATAGCTAAGTCATATATGTATGTCTCCTGAGTGAAATATGAATGGGTTTTACTTTTTATATATTGTATTTCACAGTTGTGTTAGTAAAATCGGTTTTTATTGTGACATTCAAACAATTTTTTTTATTTATAATATGTTGTATGCATATAATTCGTCAAAATAGTATGAAAATTCCGTAATTAATTTTTAACTAAAAAAATGTACACCGACTTTAAGCCTGTAGCTATAAGTTACTTATTAAAGAAAGACTTTAGAAAATGGATTCATAATTAGGCCAAAAATACGCTAAAATTTAAATAAAAAAAATTTGTAATGGTACTAAAAGAAACTGTTTTTAATGTCACAAATCATCGTCCCAAAATAAAAATAATAATCGTTATATCCATTTAATATATAATACATGAAAAAAAAGCTATGTACACTGAAAAATATGTTAAAAGTAAATTTCATGTACCAATTTTCCAGGAGGCAAACGGCGAGCTCCTATCCCACTCATCACCACTTAGCCCATGTCTCCTGAACCCGACGATCACGTTCAACAGACAGTGGTCCCTCAACCAACTGATATCTGAGTTCACCGAACTGTGCCAGTGGCTAACACACGTGCAGGAAGAGATATATTCTAGTCCAGAGAATCTGTCCAGCAGAAAGCTGAGAACGGTATTGTATTGAACACATATATCTTCACGGTAAATGAAGTATTCTTAATTTATCGGTGTATAAGGGCCTATGCAGTATCCACACGACAACTTTTTACTTACGCGCCGTCGACGCGCTTAACGCGTGTTTGTATCGATATGAACGCAAAAACTCTGCATTTTTCAAGTTTATCAACGCAGAATATGCAGAGGAAGCAGAAGTTTATGATACGCGCGTCGTCGGCGAGTTTATGAAACGTAGTGTGCATATGCCCTTTTAAGTATCAGTTCATTCGCGTTCGCAAAATGCGCTTTGAACAACGAATCGCTGTTACTACATGTAATCAGATCCAGTGTTTTTTTCCCTTTTTTACCAGTCATCTATACGTACATATAATAAAATTGTAACTAAGCCGAATCTGTACATTCATTTAATTTTTTTTAATCTTATTGAAATAGACATTATTATCGATACAAAGACCGAATCTATAGATTATAGAATTTTTGTCTGTCTGTCTGTGTCTGTCTGTTACCGCATCACGGAAATACCACTGGAGGGATTTTGATGAAATTTGGTATGATGGTAGCTGGTTATCCGGGTCATCATATAGGATTTTTTATTTCGGGAAAGTATCTCATCTCTGAGAAATCAATACTAAACGTTAGCACGTCTTATATATAACGTGAATTCTCAATTCTACGCGAAATAGATGAAGTAAATTGTGCTCAAATAACACTCCCTAGAAGCCACGAAACAAAAGATATGAATACGCATCGATGGCGCGTTAAAAAGTCGTCGTATGCCGTGGCCCAAAGACTGACAGTCCCCTATGTTATACGACCCTTGAACCTACTAAAAAAGGCGATACTAAAAAATGCCATTTACAAGAAGGCAGGTCATTAACATTTTTTCTCACACAATGATTTACAAATACAAAATCCTCAATAACATAGTTATAATTAAGCAATTATTGTATGGTAATATGCCACTTACTATCCTGTAAGGCAGGCAAAAAGTATAGTTTAAAGCACTACGATCTATCTGTTTCAGTTTTTACATTATGTATGTTTTTGTAATACGTGCTTATCCGTCATCTTCATCCTTTCAAAAGTTTTTTTATATTAAAAGTTCTTGGGCAGTGATTGTATTTAGCCCTTTATAACGTCCTACTGCTGGGCACAGGCCTCCCTTCAATATGAGATGTATTAAGCTGTGAAAGCAACATTAATAAAATATGTGTAAAACCAGGACGTAAGTTAAAACTGCACTGCAAATTTAATTTGTTACGAGTACATTGTGAAGAAACATGAACGCACACACTAACATTCGCATTTATATGCGTGATCATATAATTGGGATTATTAGTATAATACTTTCTTAGATTTACGCGAATATTTGACATTTTAATTTGTGATTATTAGTATAATTTATAATTATTGTATTTTACATAATGAAAACATCTTACAGAGTCGCATGTCAGAGCTGGTGTCAGTGGAACCTCGCCGCGCGAAATTCATAGAACAAGCCTCGGCCATACTCGAACGTATTCCTGAAGCCGCCGCAGAGGTAATATACTCTGTTGTGTAACTTGTTTAAATATATAGAACATGTAAATCATGTATATTTGAAAATTGGTCTAATTTTTTTTATATTTATTATCTGCGACTGCTCGATTCACTCGGGTGTGTCTTTCGGTGCCTAATAATCAGCATGTCTGTTACTCCAAGGTCATAAGGCAATTTTTAATAATATATTTGAAGTTTTACTTACTAAATATAGAAATATGACTTAAGTTCCGATACAAATAATGTAAAATTCTTATCTCTAGTAGGAAAAACCATACGTAGATAGGGTATTGAGATCTACCGATAGTCTATGTACAATATATTACACTCATACAAAGTTTCGCATGTCTGATAAGAATAGTTAGTAGATGAAATTTCCATATTTTATTCAGTTCAGGGAACATTAACAAGGCTATAGAATATAGATCCAACGAAATTTTTGTTGTGAGAGATTAAACTTGAAATAAAAAGTTAAATAATAGTTCATGCAATAAGTCATACGCTAGTAAATTTAATTTAAAAAAAACCGGCTGTATGCGAGTCGGACTCGCGCACGAATGGTTGGATACCATAATCTATAAAAATGGCAAAAAATACGTTTTGTTGTGCCCCCCTTAAATATTTGTCTTATTTTAATTTAATTATTTATTTTTAAACTGAATAAAGAATAACTAAATATTCTGTAAATATTTCAAGCGTTACCTGTCGCCGTTACCAATACGAGCAAAAACGAGCAAAAAAATCACGTTTGTTGTATGGGATCTCTATTAAATAATTATTTTATACTTTTTTTTTGTATATCTTATTATAGCGGCAATAGAAATATGTACATCATCTGTGAAACAACTGTGTAACTATCACGGTTCATGAGATACAGTCTGGTGACAGACGGACAGACAAAATGCACAAACAACGCATTACTGTAAAACTGATGTTTATAAACAAATAAATTTAACGCGTATAAAACAGCGGGACACAGCCTAGTATTTGAATAAATCTTGCTTTGAAAGTATTGGCCTCTTAGTTATTCTATTATATTATTAACAGAAAAGCATTAATACATTAGTGTAACAATGAACATTTAATCAATTAGGTTAGAATAATAGATTGGATACGATATAGCTAAAAAGTAGAATATTTTAACATGTATGTATGGATGAATTAAAAACTTTGCCTATCATTACGTACAATTTGTAAGGCCCGTAACCACAGATCACTTCCTCCTAATAAATGCTTCGCCATTAGCTAACAGATAACGTCAATAATCCATAAATCAACGAGAAAATCTTTACTGTACCCATTTATATGTGATCACACATTTTCAAAATTATAATAACAATATTATATAACGCTCCATGCAAATACAGTGCAGCAAACAGCAATAGCTTTTACTCTAGTAATGCTTTCGGAGATATTAATTTTAAAAATATCATCTTTTATCTGCACCTTTTAACGTGTACTTGGGTTAAAAAACTTAAATATGTATTAAGTTTTCAACACTTAAATCGACCAGTTGAGATGAAACCTGTTTTTCAATTAAAAATAACACTGTATAAAGTGTCTTTGAAATCCATTTTGCTCTTCTTGATTTACTTGTTTTCTAATTCGCAACAGACAATTATTAGATTGCTATATTTTTTGCATATTGTAGTTTAAGATATATATATTTTATACGGTAGTGTAGTTGGAGCTTGACTAAAGTGAGTTCGTTAATTCAAAGTCCAACTGAAAATTATGTTTTAAATACATTTATCATCTCTGCGATATGCCGAAAATATTATTGAAATTAAAAATATTTATAAAATATCCGAATTATTAGTATAGTAGGATAAGCCTATACTTTACTTTGACTTAGTAGTTTTATAACTTAGTATACTAATTACTATGTACTTTGGTACCAGAATATTATTAAAACTATCTACATATCTTTTACTATTATTTTTGAAAAATTGATTAGAATAAGAATTGTGGAATTTACTGAATTTTAAATACAAGAAATTGAATATTTACGAAGCCCCCAATACAATACATAGTCTATTCATTGGGGACATTTGAATGAGCCTAAACATGATATCTCTGCAGTATTTTAGTGAAGAGTTGAGTATCTTGCAGATTCCAAGTGATGCTACACCATCAGGCCTAGGTTACTATATTGTTGCAATTTCATTAAGTAACGGAATGCTGAGTTTCAAATGGATTAGATCTGTTGAAGTTGCTCACAACCCTTGACTGTCTAGAAAAGGGCTAATGGCCTGCAAACTGCTGATGTTTTCTTAATTTATAGCTAAGGACACTCTCAATCAAGTCAACTTTCAAACAAAAAAAAAATAAGTTTAATACGGTTCATTCATTTTGGCACTACAGTGCCATAGACAATTAGACAGACACACAAATACACACCTCCTGAACACCTCTTTTTGTGTCGGGGGTTCAATAGACTTCTTTTACTCTTAAGATACCGTTTTAAAATTGTATTAATTAATATTGATTAGAAAATGGTGTATCTAAGTGTAATCAAAAAACTAAACTATACAGTATACAGTACTCGGCAGTATGATGTGTTATATTAAATTTAATATAATGGTTCGTCTTTAGGTGACATGGCGGGTTGAGCACTTAAACGTGAAGTGGGAGAGTCTCCGCCTGTTGCTGAGTCCGGAGCAGCAGAATCGTGATGGAGAATGCTCAGATATTGTTGGTAAGTTACTATTAGCTGTAGTATTAATGTTATTGATAATGTGCATTTAATTTGAGAACGATTTTCGCAATTCCATTTGAGATTTGGTTATGAGAAATGTTGAATGGGGAATAAAAATTAAATTTAGTTTTTAATAATTAAATTTTGTAATTATTACATAACGCCCTATTTCTTATTGTTTTCTTTTGTCTTGTAAAACAACGTAAGCTTAGTACAAATGTGCTATATATCGTGTATTTTTTTTTGTACTCTTTACAATCCACCAGACTTCAGTCGTAACATTTAAGTAAGATTATTTAAAATTTTAAATGGTAAAATTGTGTCAAAGTTTTTAAGGAAAATTATATTTTTTCGTTCTTAATCTAAAGAAAATAAGGCCGGACAGGGCTTTAGTCTAACAGTCTCTGGCTCTACTTTAAACATTATTTTTACATCATTAATATTATCTTCTTTATTGTGTGTACATGCTGTTCAGATTGCGCAAATTAGACTTAATATAGAATTACAATTAAAATATTAGCAGTAGATGATTTTACATATAAAAAACACTTGATCCTTAATTCGAATACAAGTGGACGTTATTCTGGTCAGAATTTCCAATCTTGACCCTTTGACATGACCATGTTTGCTGTAAAGCATTCGAAACTTCGGAAATCGAAAACCAAAATAAATCCCGCGAAAAAGTTCGAAAAGAAAGTTTTATTTAAAATATCATATTATATTCGTAAATAAATAAAAGTGTGTATTTATTTCATAGACCCAGCCCACGAACTCCGTTGTCTGCGTCGATGGTTGCACTGTATGGAAGGACGTCTGCCGCCGCCTTCTTTAGCCGCCGCAAGATCCGCCTCCTACCACGAGCTGTTGAGGAAACTTCGAGAACATCAGGTTAGTTCATCATGTTGTTTGCTTAGAAATGTTATCATAACAATGATTTATACTCAGGTTAGTGATTAGAACTCAAAGAACTTGAGTGAAATACTGAACGGAGATGACTCATCCTGAACTAATACGGAGGCAATTTACTTTTATATTTTAATTCATTTTTATATGCATCGCTTACGATTATACTACGATTTTATGGGAGCGTTTTTAGGTTGATAATATATATTTTTTATGTGGATTAAAAATGATTTAAATCCGTAAAAACAATAAAAATATTATTGAGAAATTAGATTATTACTCCATCACGGAATACTTTGCAGATGTTTATGTGGGAATGATTTCTAGTCGGGTCTCACTATAGGATAAGTAGATAATTATTGTATTGTAATATTGTAAAAAAGCGTTTTTAAAAGAGCAACTGTTGCGTTTTCCGCCGGCACTTCTTAGCAAAACTACCGGTGGTGCTGACACATGAGCTTTCTTATAGACTTACCATCCTGACATTTAATTTATTTCCGCGGCGCTCGCGCTAAAACTACATAAATATCTCTAAAAAGGTATTTTCATACAAAGTTTCATCCCCTATTTTACCTTATACGATGAATTTCGAAAAATGCTTAAACACGTATTTATTTAATTTTATTATTAATACCAAGTTTCAAGTAATTCTGATCATAAATAGTTTTTTGAATTGTATTATAACGTGATTTCCCGAGGTAATGAGATGATCTCCCGCGATATGAAGTAACCTATGTCACTCTCCAGCCCTCCAAAAAATCACGCCAATCCAAAACAAACAAACACACTTTCACATTTATAATATTAGTATGGACAAGTATTGATGAAGTAGAAAATGCTTGTCAAAGTATTTGAATAAAGTATATTTTGATATTATTTGATTTCCGTTAGTCAATATACTAAAAGATTTAATTTATAGATTTACCGTAGTAGTCATCTTATTGATAACATTTCAAGCGCTTAAGTAAATTAGTAGGAGCATTGATACGAAAAAAGACTTGGTTGAGGACGTACTAATTAGAACCATGTTTAGATATCATTTAGATATCAATGTAAATATAAAATTAAAGTTTTTTAAAATATTACTTTTAAATTGGAGCATTGTTAAGATTAAATGCGAATTACTTAACTAACTCTTGCGCGTTGAGCTTGCGATTATAAAGAGCTTAATTTTAAAGATTGCTCGTTCGAGCAAGTTCAAAAAATATTCAAGTTATATATTGCTGTTGTCACAACGTACGAAATACTATGCGAAACGGACAAACGTTTGTGAGAAGTTCAAATGGTTTCATAGAGAATAGAGATGTGAAGACATATCTATGTGTGAAATAAATGAAATAGATTTTGTCATTACGCGCACATAATACCTAATTAAAACATTTATTTCTCTTGCGATGTAATTATAATTAATGACGCGAACATTCAAATATCTTATTCATCGTGACATTGACCAAGTAAATTGTTCCCAACTGGCACGCTTAAAAACCATTAACAAGACGGAAGTTTTTAAACAAGTTGCATTAGTGTATTTAGACTGAGACACCACTTGTCTTCAAATTGCACGACAAAAATTGGATCGGCTTAAGAGTTGTTTTGCAAATTGTTTTAGATTTTTCTTTGTAGCCATTGAAACTACATTTCAAATGGGTTTAATCACGCATCCTTATGATTTCGCATTAATATTGAGCTCGTTTTTCAATATTTTACAGATAATACGCGTACAGGTTATTAATTAAATAAAGTCATATTCAAACATCTAAATTCGTTCACCCCTTTCAGCGTGAAAGACTAATAAACATACACACATACAAGGTTTCGCATTTATAACAATAGTCTAATATACGTCATTATTAATATTTAGCTTAAGGACAAGTGTTATACTCTCGTTTTGTTTGGACATCTGTGTCACTCTCTAGGCCTCCGAATATTTCCATTTATATATTTATAATAAACTGTATCGATTGAAATTTTATTACTCTTTTATTATACTCTGTATTAGTTTCATTTTAACGTGTGTTCCCGTAGGAATGAGATATTTTCCCATAAAACTTAGCTTAAATCACACCAGCACTCTATCCCATAAGAAATTACATTAATTCACTTCGTTTTGGCGTAAAACAAGGATAAATAAGCACTCTTAAACATTCATAATTTTAGTATGGGTTTGTGGTGGGTCAGGTCATAATGATGTATTTAAATAAGTATTTCGTACTGATTCTTATACTTTGTTTTAGTGTTATAGGATTCATCTAAGTTTGGATTTCAGTGTATCTACATAATAATATTATGTAATCGTGATTTAATAGTTAAGTGCCATAGGAGAGGCCTATGTCCAGGAGTAGACGAAAACAGGCTGAATATGATGATGATGATAATAATTTCGATCATGGAACTAAATTCGTCAATAATGGTTTTCCGGGTTTTAACCGGTTGAAGAACATAACTAAAACCTTAAACCGAGAAGTCCTTCGGTTTTCGGTCCGGTTAAAAATTGAAAGGGTTTCCGAGCCCTGCTTTCAATCCCTTCGGTTTAGAGTGAGCGTCAGGACTCCGCTAATTTATCCGAAAAGATAGTTTTATTTAAAGAAATTAATAATTTAAAATATAAATACCAAGAATCTTTTGAACTAGATACATTCTAAAACTAATTATGTATATGAAATAAAACACAAAGCTTTTATTGTGATGTAACTTAAAACTATGCATATTTTTTCTATTGTGATAATAAAATAAAAAAATGTATTGTAGTCGATGTATGTAATCTGACAACGAGGTCGGTGGGTGGATAATGCCACATGCCCGTAATTTAATATAACCAAGTTTCTGGTAATGTTTTATTAAGAGCGTTAAAATACGGACTTCCCTCTCATTCTTATCATAACATTTAAAAAAAACCGTGCAAAACGATTACGTACAAATAGTAAAAAAAACGGTCAAGTGCGAGTTGATATCGCACACGAAGGCTTCCGTGCCATGGTTTTTAATAATATGACTTTTACTCTATGTAGGTATGTAGTAAATTAACTTCTAAGATCGATTACGAAGTTAGAAAAATGATTCTTGTATTTTTATTTTTTTATTTATATTTATTATTTTTTGTTATAGCGGCAAGAGAAATACATACTCTGTGAAAATTTCAACTCTCTAGCAGTTCATGAGATATAGCCTTCTGAAAGAGCGACGGACGGATGCTTAGTAAATGGCACCAAAAAAACTTGAATCAGATTTGATTAACATTTAATAGATAGTTCACGTCGTAATAATAAAAATTATTCAGATATATATTTGTAGGCGTTGGTTATTTGTTTGTCATCCAGTTTTAGCACATCGGTACGGATGTTTGTAATAGTTTACAATATTTGTCCTGAACGGGCAAACAACGACAACAAACAACCTCTAACTGAATAAATACTCGTATTATCTCAATTTCTTACAGTTAATTTTCTGCAATAATCAATTTTACTGAACCTTCCATAGCAATGATTCATTATTTCATATATTATGTTTATTGGTTTTCTCGTTATTGGTTTCATTAATTTAGAGAACTCAAAATGTTCAAAGTTTATAGATTTTATGTTTTTTTTTGATTTGAATAGCCACTGCATAGTTAAATGACATGACCTCTATCCCCGTATTATACGATTATATATACGGTATTATTCGACGATATTGGTTGTAACATCTTCTTCCACAACCAGGGGTTGACTGGAAGAGATCTCTTTTAGAGATAAGTCCACCTTTGTGAACTATGTTTACTTTGTTATTTTTTTTTTCTGTATCATATTTTAAGTGCAATAAAGTAATTAGTCTTGGAAAATTGGCGAAAATGTAACTCTTACATTATCACTCCGTGTCATATCGTGTGTCCGTCTGTTACAGCCTATTTTCTGTAAATGTATTTATCGGAAAATTTCTCTACACAATAACAATTCGCGCTTGACCGATCTTTTAGGTGCACTTATTAATGATCCCTTTGCTATCAACTGACGGGATACGTATCTCTCAATACGTATCTAACGGTACAACAATGCGCATGTGCCCTAACGAGTAGCGATGTAGTGATGCCCTTAATTAACACCGACTCCGAGTGAGAGCGCTTTGTTCTACGTTTATCTCCAGATCGTACTCGTTTGTTCGATTGAATTATTATATTCGCACGTCGATGTAGATATACGATCTAACATTACATTATTTTTTTTTTGTATATTAATTTTGTCTTGATTTTTAATTTCTTTTTTACCACACTGCGCGACCTAAAGGAAGGTAATGTCTATATCAGTCTAATTATGTATGTATGTATATGTATGTATATGAATGTTTGTTCCTATATGGCGTTCTGGTATAAATTCTGTTAATCTTTCTTTCAGCCTTATTTATATATTTTTGAAAGAAACTTTTACACAAATATATGTAAAAAAAATTTTTTCGTCTCAAATGCCCCACATTTTATAGGTATTTTTTTTAAACTTGTACAGTTAGCTTCACTTCGTTAAACTTAAATTAAAGTTGAGTAGGCTTCAAGTTTTGATGTTTCCTCATCATAGAAAATTTATGCTCATGGTATATTTCAACATCATTCGATATGATTGAACCGATAGTTAGCATGATTGACTAATGCAAAGTGTCTGTTCCGCCAACTTTCTACTGGGTCGTGCCGCGTGCGGGACGTCAGAATGAACCCCGCTACTCAATCTGTGTGACATGCCCATCTATTATCTAGAGCGGGATCGTTTCCTTAATAATGCTTTAATGCGGTAATGTGAGCGTAAGAAAGTGAAACTAGCTCGGCTAACTATAAGCTTTTACAATCTACATACAATTTACATATTATACTGTCGTTGTTTTAGATGTTTATTTGTATTTAATATGCGATGAGAAATTTAGCTATGTCAACAAGTAATATCTTAAACGAATTGCTTTGTAGAAAATAAGTAGTTACGTTTTAAGGTTAAAAAAATATATCAAGAGTTAAATAATAACTGAATGCTTTAAAGTGCTCAACATTTTCATCTGTTCGATATGGATTTTACGATATTTTTTCAGGCTTACGT